AGCCGCCCCGACGGCGCCGCCGACGGCCTGCGCGGACGAACCGGCGTGGCGCAAGAAGGGCGCGCCCTCGAAGGACTGCGCGTGGGTCGCGGCCTACGCGTTCACCCGCTGCTACGTCGTCGGCGACGACGACCGCAAGGCGACCGCGGGCTGCCGAGTCGCGTGCGGCACCTGCTCGCCGCCGCCGACGCGCGCGCCGGTCGTCGCGATTCCCCAGGGCTGCGCGTCCTACTTCGACGGGTGCAACACGTGCGACGGCTCCGGCCGCTCCTGCACCGAGATGTTCTGCGAAACGTACGAAGAGGCGCGCTGCCTCGCCTACGCGGACGCGGCGGCGTCCTACAGCTACTCGTACGGCGACCGCGATTTCGTCGTCGTCGACGGCGGCGGCGAGGACGACCGCGACGCGCGCGACGACGACGGCTCCGTCGCGAAGACGGACGACGACTCCGGCGGCGGCGAGGCGATCCCCGCCGGGTGCACGTCCTGGTACGACGGCTGCAACACCTGCGCCGTGACGTCGGACGCGGGCGCGCTCGCGTGTACGAAGAAGTTCTGCGACGACTACGGCGACGCGCGGTGCCTCGCCTACGGGGCCGCGGGCGACGACGACGGCCGCGGGGCGCTCGTCGTCGACGGCCGCGACGCCGCGTAGCGCGACGACGGCGCGGGCGACGGCGGCGGCGACGGGAGCGCGGACGGCGGCGGCGGCGACGACGGCCGCGGCGACGGCGGCCGCGGCGACGGCGGCGGCGACGCGGCCCCGGGCGTCGGCGGCGCGCTCGGCGCGTAGAACGCCGACGGCGCGGCCGAGGGCCCCGCGGGCGCGGCGGACGGCGCGTAGGCGCGCGTCGGAGACGCGGACGGCGCGTAGTCCCCCGGGGCCGTGAAGACGCCGGACACGCACGACGTGTTCCGCCGCGCGTCGATCTCCCGCAGGATGAGCTCGTTCCACGCGTGGCACGTGGCCACGTTCGCGTGCTTGTCGTCGAAGGTGTGCGCGTCGAGGGCGTCGAGGCCGTACAGGGGGTAGACGTCGACGACGGGCACGCCGCGGCGCGCCATGAGGGCCGCGGCGACGCGGTTCTGCGCCTCGATGGGCGCCACCCAGGCGCCGATGTCGCCGTCGATCTCCTTGCCGCAGCACGACGTCGTCCGGTAGATGCCGAGGCGGCCGTCGACGTCGAGGAGCTCGTCGACGACCCTCGCGAGCGTCGCGTCGTACCTGCGGACGCGCGCGTTCGCGCGCGGCGCTCGCGATGTCCCTCGATCGCCGACGCCGGGTCGCGTACCACGCCTCGCATTCCGCGTCGAAGCCCTTGCCGCACTCGTAGGCGGAGTAGCTCTTCAGCAGCTGCCACCAGCCCATGTTGTAGACGACGACGTCCGCCTCGAGCGTCGCGGCGACGTCCGCGAGCGTCGCGTCGCCGGCGACCTGGTCCGCGAGCGTGTGGCCCTTGCTCCCGATGGGCGTGTCCGCCTCCTGTGGCGTGTCGTCGGCGTCGTCCCACCAGACGTGCTGGATGAAGTAGAACTCCGTCTCGATGGGCCGCGTGTCGAAGTCGCCGTCGCTGAACGTCTTCCAGGCGTGCTGCCGCTGCGTCGCCTGGTCCGTGAGGATGCCCTCGGCGTTCCAGCTTTCGATGCCGTCGTAGTCGCCGCTGCCCGGGCCCGCGCCCATGGACTGCTTGCTGCTGAACTCGTCGGCCCGGAGCTCGCCCGTCGCGAGGAAGTTGTTCAGGCCGAAGAAGCAGTAGCGCGTCAGGCTGTCGCCGAAGAAGGTGACCTTCTGCCCGCGGAGCACGCACTTGGCCTCCTCCCAGGTGATGGCCGCGTCAGCTCCAGCCAGCGCGATGGCTGCGAGCGCGCGCGGAAGCATTCGTATCGTAGGCGACGGCGGTGGTTGTTGGCGTCAGTTGTCGTTACCGGATGCACCGAGCTCTGGCCGCAGCGGGGCAGCCCGAGAGCCATTCCAATTGCATTTTTCGTGGCAGCTCGTGCAAGTGCACAGTTGCAGTCAATGGTTTCCTTCATCACTCCCGTCGAAGGTGCAGATGTCCAGCTATAGATCACACTCTATATCACTAGTAGTTACTTATTATGAATCGCCGGCAATTTACGCATGATTAGCGATATAAGCCTGGTATGACGTCGGGGCAGAAGAGCCCGAGGTGCTGCCCGAATCTTCGTCCGAGCTGCTATCTGAGTCCTCGTCGTCAAATCGAGTTGGATAGTAGCGGTCGACAATTCTGAGAGACTCCGCGGCATAGGCGACGGTGGCGGAGGTGACCGTGAATGGCGCGGCTGATTTGGGAGGGTAGTCAACTGTTCGCACAGAATGTGCATGCGCCCAAGGTTCTTCAAGAAAGCGAGGCGTAGGATCCTCATCGTCCAACGTTTCATCTGCACTCGAGTAGTCATCATCGTCGGTCGGCGGCAGTTCTGAGTGAGAGAATTCAGGATGCAAAAGATAGATAATTTTGAGAAGTGCTCCGATGGCGCCAAAGCAATAGCACGAGGCCAATTCCATCGCAGCTCCGGTGATACCGACGACGCTTGCTCGCCGCGCGATGCGCCGCACGATGCACGCGAGCTCAGAATTCGAACAGTCGTTGACAAGCTCGCCGAGAAGCGATTTGCGAAAAGGTTCTTGCTTCATCTTTTCCACAGTTCGATCATATCGGGATCCGTACTGACTCGAGAAGGGAAGCACCTCATCTAGCCAATTTTCAATCGATAAAAAAGTAGCAGCTTGAGCGCCTGATGCATGTTGTAGCGTCTGGAGATAAAAGAAAAAGTCTCTTGCGCCCACAGTGCTTCCAGTCTCCGACAACAAAGGAGGGGAAAGATCGTCGTCTCCGTGGCCGGTATGCGAGCGGTGCATCATGCAAAGTAAGCAGCCCTCCATAATTCCACCCATCCATTGTTCCACAACGTCGCATAGGGCCGCAACGGCGCCGTCGGTGAAGCGCGGTCGCGGATCGACGTTGCTGTAGCCGCAGCGACCATAGAGGAACTCGACGATTCGTCGCATTTTCACGGGGCCGAGGACGCTCTTGAAATCCCCTTCGGGCTCAGGAAGGCCTCTTTGGAGGTGCCTAATCGCACGGATGGCGACTGCTTCGAGGCAGCCGCGCCTGCCCGCGACAGAAGTTTCCTGTAGAACATTGTCGCCGTAGCCGATGGGCCGCGGCTGCCAGAGCGCGTCGTCGACGACCCCGCGCCACGCGACGCACACGAGCTCGCACCGCAGGAAGTCAGCGCCGTTGCGGACGAAGTGCAAGATTTCGCGCAGAACATCGGGCGAGCGTAGCACGGTCGAAGGCAAAGTTGACATAGGGAGCGGGAGATAGCAGAGAGCGGCGACCGTCGCGCGCCGCTTGTGGAGAATATATGCGCGCGCGCGGCGCGCTGCTCGTGGAGAAGCTGTGCGCGCGGCGCTGCTCGTCGAGAAGCTGAGCGACGCCGCGGCGCGCTACTCGTCGAGACGCGCCGGGCGCGCGCGGAGCCGATTCGCTCGACCCGGGCCGGCAACCTGAGTCGCGTAGTTGAACGGAGGTTACCTCTCCACTTACCCGTCGCCGAGCGCGACTTTACTCCTGCCGCCGCTCTGGGTTTCGTTCTTAGCCGCCCGGGAGGGGGGCTTGAAGGGGTTCGACGGGGGTAGGGGGTCCCTCGCCCGGCGCCGGCGGGTTCCGGGACGGGGGGAGGGGGGGGTCGTCGGCTCGTGGCCCAGGCGACCCGGGGGAGGGGGCTCAGGAGCTCGCCACGGCGTCGGCGCCGAGCGCAGCGAAGATGGAGGTGAACTCCGGGTCCGACCCCGGCTCCGGCTTCGGCTTCGTCGGCGACGCGCGCGCGAACTGGTGCGCCTCGGCTTTGTTCCGCCGGAATCGCCGGTGCGCGTAGAGCAGCGCCGCGCCTAGAGCCGCGCCGACGGCGACGCCCGCGACCGCGAGCCCGGCGGCGAGCCCGATCGACGCGGCGTCCGCGCCGCCGCCGTCGTCGTCGTCGGAGGCGGCGGCGGCGCTCGCGGCCGCCTCGACGGGTCCCGGCGTCGGCGCGGGCCCGCGCGCGCGGCCGTCGTCGCCATCGTCGCGCGCGGCGTCGCCGCCGTCGTCGACGGCTCCGTCGCCACCGTCATCGTGGCCGTCGTGGCCGTCGTCGTCGTAGGCGGCGTCGCGGCCGTCGACGACGAGCGCGCCGCGGCCGTCGTCGTCGTCCGCGGCCCCGTAGGCGAGGCAACGCGCGTCGCCGTAGTCGTCGCAGAACCTCCTCGTGCACGCGAGCGCGCCCGACGTCACGGTGCAGGTGTTGCAGCCGTCGTACCAGGACGTGCACCCGACGGGAGAAGCCTCGCCGCCGCCGGAGTCGTCGTCCTCCTCCGCGACGGAGCCGCGGTCGTCGCGCGCGTCGCGGTCGTCCTCGCCGCCGCCGTCGTCGCGCGCGTCGCGGTCGTCCTCGCCGCCGTCGTCGTCGCGCGCGTCGCGGTCGTCCTCGCCGCCGTCGTCGACGACGACGAAATCGCGGTCGCCGTACGAGTAGCTGTAGGATTCCGCCGCGATATAGGCGGTCGGCGCGCGCGTCGGCGGCGCCGTGCAGGTGCCGCACGACACTTGGCAGCCCTCGGTCGCCTTGCGGTCGTCGTCGCCGACGACGTAGCAGCGGGTGAACGCGTAGGCCGCGACCCAGGCGCAGTCCTTCGAGGGCGCGCCCGCCTTGCGCCACGCCGGTTCGTCCGCGCAGGCCGTCGGCGGCGCCGTCGGCGCGGCCGTCGCCGACGGGCCCGCGGACGGCAGCGGCGTCGGCTCCGGCGGTCGCGGCGACGGCGCGGCGCTCGACGACGGCGCCGGCGACGGCTCCCCAATGATGGCGGCGTCGGCGCCGGCCAGCATGATGTACGCGAGCGCGCGCTGAAGCATTCTCATCGGTGGATGGTGGTGTCAATGTCGCTACTGGATGCACCTAGCTCTGGCAGCAGCGGGGCAGCCCGAGGGCCATTGCATTTGCATTTTTCATGCACATCGCGAAGTGCACTGCTCCGAGGTTGCGGTCGACATTAACCTCCTCTCCACTCCAGTGGACTGGTCTCGCGCTCAGGAGAGCCACAGCTGTCTCACAGAGCGCCGCGCCGCCGCCAGCAAGAGCACCCCAGAATGGCATCGCGGAAGCGCCGGCGCGACGGCGACGCGCTCGACGCGCTCGCGGCGGCCGCCGACGCCATCGGCTTCGACGCGCGGGCCTTCGAGCGCGACGGCTTCGCCTTCCTGGACAACTACGCCCTCGGCGAGGGCGCGCGGGCCCGCGCGCTCGCGTCGGCGCTCGCGCTGCGGCGGACGAAGGAGTTCGCGAGCTTCAACGACGCGGACCCGGACAAGCGGCGCGTCTTCGCGCTCCTGGACCCCATCAAGCCGCTCCTGCGGGCGCTCGTGTCCGGCGGCGGCGGCCTCGAGGGCTTCGTCGAGCCCGGCGACACGCGCAACAACCGCATGGAGCCGAACCAGTGCCAGCTCGCGCGGCGCCAGCCCGGCGACGGCTTCTGGGGCAAGCCCCACATCGACACGCCCCACGGGGCCCAGCGCGACGGCGCGCCGCACCACAACTGCACGGTTATCGTCGGCGTCGTCCTCGACGGCGCCATGCACGCGCGCGACGACGCGGGCGCGCTCCTCGTGGCGCCGGGCAGCCACCGGGCCTTCGCCGCGGCGTTCCGCGACCACGGCGCGTGCGCGCGCTGCCGGGGCTTCGGCGGCGGCGGCGTCGTCCGCTTCTACGGCCACGACCGCGACAAGAGCGTGGCGACGGCCGAGTCGACGGCCGCGCACTACCTCGGCGCCGAGCCGCCGCTCGCGCACGTCCGCGCGCGGCCCGGCGCCGCGTTTATCGTGCACCACCAGGTGCTCCACAGCGTCCGCGAGGTCGCCGCCGACGCGCCGGGCCGCCTCATCGTCTACTTCCGCGTCCGCGCGAAGCGGCCCGCGGGCGAGAAGCAGCGGCGCCACGCGGCGATGAAAGACGTCGACCTCGAGATGCCGCGGCTGAAGGCGCTCGCGGCGCGGCAGGTCGCGGCGCGGGGGCGCGAGCCGCCGCCGCTCGCGGCGCCCGGCGACGCGCTCGTCTATGATGAGGTTCACAACGCCTACATCGCGCGCGACGGCGCGGTCCTCCCGCTCCCGTCCGTCCGGCGGAACGCGGACCTCACGCCGGATGCGGACGCGGCGGACGACGCGCCGGAGACGCCGGACGCGCCGGCGGCGCCGCGCGACCCACGCGAGGGCCCGCGCCAGAGCTACGCCGACGAGCCCGCCGGGCGCAAGCCCCCGTCCTGCTCCGGCATCGCGCCCGGGACCCCGAAGAAGCCGCGCGTCGTGCTCCCCGTGCACCTCCGCCCCGCCCGGCGCCGCGGCTCCTAGGCGCGCGGTGAGGTCCCCGGTGGTCCTCGTACCGGGCCGGCGGGTACTCGAGTCTTAGGCGCGCGTCAGTCGATGATGAGGTCCCGGATGGGCCAGTCCTCGTAGGAGCCGTCGGGCAGGTACCGTCGGATGATGAGCGGGATCTTGCGCTCGCGGAGCTCCTTGTTGGCGATCTTGAGGGGGTCCGTCTCGCCCGCGACGTCGACCATGACCGGCGCGTTCATGGAGATCTGCAGCGCGCGCGTGCCCAGCACGCGCGCCTTCTCGTACTTCGTCATGTACCGCGTCGTGACGCGCTCCGCGTTCTCCGCGGGGCCGCCGTCGACGCCGTCGTCGGGCGCCTCGAGGAGCTCGATCTCGTCGCCTCCGTCCTCGTCCATGGGCTCGAGGCCGCCGTCGTCGTCGAGGCCGCCGTCGTCCTCGGGCGCGAAGTCGGCCATGGTACCGGGCGCGGGCGAGTTTATCGGTCCGCGCGGCGGTCGGCGTGCGCGGCGGAGAGGCGGTCGGTGTCGGCGGCGGAGGCGATGGAGCCGGAGAGCGCTCGCTTTTTGACGCCGACGTTGACGAGATGTTGACGCTCTCGAGCTCTCGGGCTGAGGTGCTCGACGTCGTCCGCGGTCACCGCGCTGTGCTTGCGCGTCGCAAAGAACAGCGCATAATTCACCTGTGCGCGGCGTCGCAGCGAACAGCGCATAAATCGCTCTGCGATGCGCGCCGCCCTCCGCCGCTGCGCGGTCGCCGGCCCGCCGCCGCGCCGCGCCCTGTCGTCGGCCGCCGCCGTCGACGATCGGCTCCTCGCGTCCCTGGAGGCCGTCTGCGACACGTCGACGAACGCGAGCATCCTGGCGCGCCACGGCAAGGACGAGTCGCACCACGCGTGCGTGCCGCCCGACGTCGTCGCGTTCCCGGCGTCGACGGCCGAGGTGTCCGCGCTGCTGAGACTCTGCCACGAGCGGCGGACGCCCGTCGTGCCCTTTGGGGTGGGCACGAGCCTCGAGGGCCACGTGCAGGCGCCGCGGGGCGGCCTGTCCATCGACGTCGGCGCGAAGATGACGGCCATGCTCGAGGAAAACGCCGGCGACATGGACTGCCGCGCGGAGGCCGGAGCGACGCGCAAAGCCGTCAACGCGGCGCTGCGCCACACGGGCCTCGAGTTCATGGTCGACCCGGGCGCGGACGCGACCGTCGGCGGCATGGCGGCCTGCGGCGCGTCGGGCACGACGGCCGTGCGCTACGGCACGATGCGCGACGCCGTCCTCGGCTTGACCGTCGTCCTCGCGGACGGGACGGTCCTGGAGACGGGCGGCCGCGCGCGCAAGTCGTCGGCGGGCTACGACCTCACGCGGCTCTTCATCGGGTCCGAGGGCACGCTCGGCGTCATCACGGAGGTCGCGCTCGCGCTGCACCCGGCGCCGTCGCACGTCTCCGCCGCGACGGTGCGCTTCGAAACGCTCGCGGCCGCCGTCGAGGCCGTCGAGGGCCTGCGGCTCCACGGCGTGCCCGTCGCGCGCTGCGAGCTGCTGGACGCGACGACGCTCGCGGCCTTCAACGCCTACAACGCGGGCGTCGCCGGCTTTTCGCCGCAGCCGCTCGCGCCGTCGTTGTTCCTCGAGTTCCACGGCATGAGCGCGGCGCGCGACACACATCTTCGACTGTTTCGACGCGAGGTGTTCCGCTGTGCTTCGAGAACGCGACGAGAGCCATCGATTCGTCCAAACATCGGCCGAATCGACTCGGCTCGAGAGTTTTTGGAATAACCGGTGTTTTTTTCCCGCGCAGGCATGAGCGCGGCGAACGTGGAGGAGCAGGCCGACGTCGCGCGGGCCGTCGCCGAGGACTGCGGCGGGTCCGACTTCGCGTGGTCCGCCGACGAGGGCGAGCGGAACCGGCTCTGGGCCGCGCGCCACTCGACGTACTACGCGTCGCTCGCGCTGAAGCAGGACGGCAGGGCCGTCGTCACGGACGCGTGCGTGCCCCTGTCCGCGCTCGCGGACGTCGTCGAGCGGACGGCGGCGGACGTCGCGGCGGCGGGCGTCGTCGGCCCCATCTTCGGCCACGCGGGCGACGGCAACTTCCACTGCATCCTCGTCTACAACGACGACGACGACGCCGACTACCTCGCGCGGCTCCACGGCGTCAACGCGAAGCTCGTCGCGCGCGCCATCGACGCCGGCGGCACGTGCACGGGGGAGCACGGCGTCGGCGCCGGGAAGAAGGCCTACGTGCTCCAGGAGCGGGGGCCCGCGGCCGTCGGCGCGATGCGCGCGGTCAAGGCCGCGCTCGACCCGCGCGGCATCATGAACCCGGGTAAGATCTTCGACTAGGAGCGCCGGCGCGGACGCGGGCGCGGGGGGGCTGGCTTAGGATCTTCGCGGCGCGGGAGGGGGGCGGACGGCGCGCGCGCGTCAGACCTTCTGCTTCTTCGCCGGCGGCGGCAACAGCCGCGCCTCGGCGGCGCGCGCGTGGCCCTCGAGGCCCTCGATGCGCGCGAGGCGGACGGCGTCGCGGACGGCGCACTGGGACGCGGGCCCGTCGTCGATGCGCATCCAGGTGCGGATGCGGAGGAAGTCCATGACGCAGAGGCCGCCCGTGTAGCGGGCCGTGCCGGACGTCGGGAGCGTGTGGTTCGGGCCGATGCCGTAGTCGCCCATGACCTCCGCGGACCGGCTCCCGACGAAGAGGCCGCCGTAGTGGTTGCACCGGTCCGCGACGGCCCGCTCGTTTTCGCAGATGACCTCGAGGTGCTCCGGCGCGACGGCGTCGGACACGCGGAGCGCCTCGTCGACCGACTCGCACGCCACCGCGAAGCCCCTAGCGCACGCGGGCGCGGCGACGGCCTTCGTCGGGAGGTTCTCGAGCTGCGCGTCGAGGGCCGCGTTGATCTTGGCGACCATCTTCAGCGCGCCGGCCTTGCCCGACCCGTCGGACGAGAAGGCGACGACGATGGGCCGCGCGACGACGTCGTGCTCCGCCTGCGCGAGCATGTCCGCGGCGACGGTCGCGGCGTCCGCGGTCTCGTCGCAGATGACGAGCACCTCCGACGGCCCGGCGATCATGTCGATGCCGACGCGCGCCGACGTCGCCGCGCAGGCCTTGGCCGCCGTGACCCACGCGTTGCCGGGGCCGCAGAGCACGTCCGCGCGCGGCACGCCTTCTTCGGCGAGCGCGCCCGTCGCCATGGCCGCGATGGCGTGGGCGCCGCCGACGGCGACGAGCACGTCCGCGCCGGCGACGTGGGCCGCGGCGAGCGTCACGGGCAGGGGCTTGGGCGTCGCGACGACGACCGTCTTGACGCCCGCGGCGCGCGCGGTGACGGCCGTCATGAGCACGGAGCTCGGCAGCGGGTAGCGGCCCCCGGGCGCGTAGCAGCCCGCGACCTCCACGGGGCTCACGGTGTGGCCCGCGACGCCGCCGGGGATGGGCGTCTCCATGTCGACGAAGGAGGCTTTTTGCGCGAGCGCGAAGGCCTTGATGCGCGCGCCGCACGCCTCGAGGCACGCGCGGTCGTCGGCGTCCAGACCGTCGTAGGCCGCCTTCATGGCGGCCTTGTCGACGACGGCCGACTGGCCCTCCGTCAGCTCGCCGAACTGGCCCGCGTAGGCGTAGACCGCCGGCGCGCCCTCGGCCTTGACCTTGGCGAGGCACTGCTCGGCGAATTCCATGACCTTCGTGTCGAGCGTCTCGCTGTCGCCGGCGTTCACCGACGACGCCTCCACGATCTTGACGCCCATGGTTGTTAGTTGCGCGACGGACGTGCGCGGTCGCGCGTCGGGACGGCGGCGGTGGCGGCGCTCGGCAGGCGCAATGAAGGTTGCGGCTCAAGGCCTCGGCTTCGCTACCTGGAGTCAGTGCTTGAGTCAACTTGCCGTCATGGTGCCGTCCAGCTCGGGGGGAGATCTCGAGGTCGTGATCTCGACGTCCGCGGGACGACGATCGACGTGCCCTCAACAACACACAAGGGGCCGTGGCGCCCGCCGAGCACGTCCGAAAGGCAGTTTAGTCGCGCGGCCCGGCCCCATACATGACCGGCGCCGCCTCGCTCCGGATCGCCGGGATCGCGTCTGAGCGCGCGGGATCGCTCGGGATCGCGCAATATCGCTCGAGGTCGCTCGAGATCGCGCGCAGATCGCCCGGGGATCGCGCAGATCGCTCGAGGTCGCTCGAGATCGCTCAGGATCGCTCGGGATCGCTGCGGGATCGCTCGGGATCGCGCCGGATCGCCGCCGGGATCCCGGTGGCGCCGGCCCTCCATACAGGCACCTTCTCAGCCTGAGGCTTCACTCTGGTAGGGTCCCATTTCCAATGCAAGCATTTTTCATTCCCGCAGCATACGGGGATCCTAAGCTGATTCCTCCCCTGAATGAAAATCCGAAACGTCTTGAGATGCCAGAAGCGACGCCGACACCTGCGTCGTCTGCTAGGCCTTCTGCTCAGGCTTGGAGCCGCTCTTGCACGGTTAGGCCTGTGTGCTGCCGTGCGAGCACACCTTTCACTCCACGTGTGTCGGCGAACCCATCGCTCTCTCCGATCAGACGCGCGCGAGCGCTGGCGGGGCAGACGCCGGAGCTGAGCTTGCCGATGAGGTCGACCTCGGTGCGAGCCCGGCCACCGCCGCGAAGCTCGCGGGGTCGACGTCGCAGCCGCGCAACGGCGCCTTCCGCTCCGGGTGTTTCAACCGAAGCGCCTCGGCGACGCCGGCGTCGCGGGGGTCGCGGGTGCCGTTGCTCGTCAGAGACGCGCGGCGGCAAAGACTCTCGGACCCCCGCCCTCTCCGCCGCACAAGTGTCAAGACGGGCAGGAGCTGCTCCGCCACAAAGAGAGAGCGCCCGGCCGCGCCGCCGAACCGTGCTGGCGCGCCGCGTCGTCATCGCGGCGTGGGCCCTGCGCTGCGCGGCCTTCGCGCCGCGCCGGCCCCTGCGCGCCATGAGCGCCCTCGACGCGTCGAAGGCGGGCGCGCAGAAGAAGGGCAAGCCGTCGCCGGAGGAGATCGCGCGGCTGCGCGCCGCCGCCGCGGCGCGCAAGGCCGCGGCGCCCAAGGCCGCGGCGCCGCCACCGCCGCCGCAACAAAAGAAGGAGCGGGACCCCGCCGCGGAGGCCGCGGCGCTGCGCGGCTTCGGCGTCGGCTGCGCGCTCGTCGACTGCGGCGCGAACCTGCAGGGCCGCCACGGCTTCGACGAGACCGCGCGGCTCCTCGACCGCGCGGCGCTCGCGGGCGTGGGCCGCGTCGTGCTCACGGGCTGCGACGTGGCCGGCTCGCGGTCGGGCGTCGCGTTCTGCGAACGGCGGTCCGCGGCCGGCGAAAAGGGCCTCTACGCGACCGCGGGCGTGCACCCGCACGACGCCAAGACCTGGGACGACGCCACGGCGGCGGAACTCCGGGCCATCGCGGCGTCGCCCCACTGCGTCGCCCTCGGCGAGTGCGGCCTCGACTACGACCGCATGTTCTCGCCGCGCGAGACGCAGCGGGACGTCTTCGCGGCGCAGTGCGCGCTGGCCAGAGACCTCGGCAAGCCCCTCTGGGTCCACGTGCGCGAGGTCGACGCGCCCGGCGCGCCCCTGGGCGCCTACGCCGACGCCATCGCGATTCTGGGCGCGTCGGGCCTCGACCCGCGCCGCGTCTGCGTCCACTGCTTCACGGGGTCCGAAGCGGAGCTCCGGGCCGTCCGGAACTTCGGCGCGCGCGTGGGCTTCACGGGCTTCCTGGGCATCGCGAAGCGGTCCGGCGCCACGCGGTCCGCCGCCGCGGCGCTCGCGGCGGCGGGGCTCCTCGACGTCGCCCGAGGCGACGTCTTGCTCGAGACGGACGCGCCGTTCATGCTCCCGGACAAGGCCTACGTCCCCGCGGCCCTGGGCAAGCAACTCGGCCTCCGCGGCGGCAAGAACGAGCCCGCGGTCCTCCCCGCCGTCGCCCGGGCCCTCGCGGACGCGCTCGGCGCCGACGCGCGCGACGTCGCGGCGGCGACGACGGCCGCCGCCGCCGCCTTCTTCGCCTTCGACGCCGCGGACGCCGCGGTCGACGGGGAACTAACTTAGTCGTACATGCGCGCCGGCTTCCAGGGGAAGCCGAAGCGCTCAAAGTCCGCCGCGAAGTAGGCCGTGACGTACCGCCGGGTTCGGTTGTCGTAGAGCGGCGACCGGTCCACGCGCGTGCCGTTCCACGCCGCCGCGGGTACGAAGTGCTCCTTCGTCGCGCCGGTTTCGCAGGACGAGAGGCAGTGGACCTTGGCCGGCGCCAGGCGCGCGTAGCCGAGGTCGCCGAGCACGGCGCCGAGGTCCGCGCCGAGCGCGTTCACGCGGACGACGCGGACGTCGCCGAGGCCCGCGAGGAGGTCCGACGCGCGCGCCAGGGTGCCCGACGTGCCCGACGCGTCGCCGAAGTGGCGCCGGACCCACGCGCGGAACGCGCGCGCGTCGTCGCGGCACGGCTCCGCGGCGCACGGTGCGACGACGCCGTGGTACGCGGCGGAGCTCACGACGCGGCGGAAGGGGTTCGCCGCGAGGACGAAGCCGACGTCCCCGGGGCACGCGCCCTCGGGCGCCGCGTGCGCCTGGCGGGGCGCGACTCGCGCGCGCGGCCGTCCCCCGGACGAGCGGCCGCGCCCCTCGGAGCGGCGCGGCGCGCGATCAAAACGAGCGACGGGCCCTCGGGACATCGCGCCCCGGGACGTCGCGGCGCCGGCCGCGCGCGTGGTCGCACGTGCGCACGCCGAGCTGCTTCCGGAGCAGCGCGCGGACCGTGCCCGTCGCCGAGTGCTGCGGGAAGACCTGCGTGGACATCAAAGCTTCAACCCAATGCAATCAGCCAAAACGACTTCGATTTGACCAAGCTCGAGAGTTTTGAAGTTTGGTCGGGAGTGGTTGATTTGCACACGGGGGAGGACGGCGAACCAGGGCCGCCCGGTCGGCCCGACGCCGCGGCAGCCGCTCTTCCGCTTCCCGCAGGAGCGGCACGCGGCCGGACACGCCTCGTCGCCGGTCCGCCCGTCGGCGCCGGTCCGCCCGCATCTCGCGACCGCGAGCGCGGCGCAGGGTCGCCCGGAGAGGACCCACGTCGGCGAGTCGCGCGGCTCTTCGTTACCGCGTGCGTCGAACACGAGGAGGATGAGGACGACGACGACGCGCCGCATCGTTGAATCCGTCACGACTTTTGTGAGGCTTTTGGGGATCTATTTTGCTCGTCGTCGATTTCTCTCGTTCGCACGCCGGGAGCTCCCGCACGCGCCCTGGCGCATCCGGTGTGGGCGGCTTTGCGCGAATTCGGTCGCGAACATTGCGCGCAAAGCTAATGACCATGATTGACCGGCCAGGCTCGACCGCACTGCCACTGATCTGCCACTGGCACTCCGGCAGTCACTGGCAGATCACTGGCGAGCGTTGCCGAGGGTTGCCTTGACGGTCTCTGAACGTAGGGGGCCCGGGAGGAACCGCGGGGGACGGGAGGCTCAGAGGGGTCTCACAGGCGCGGGAGGCGCCAGTGGACGGCGGCGTCCTGGCGCAGGCGCCAGTGCCGAGGGTTGCCGCGCGAGACACTGCAGTACACTGCAGCGGTCGCCATCGCGTCGCTCAACGAGCCATGGCAAACCCAACGATGTTGGTCGCGGTGGTTGCGGCCGTCGTCCTACTCCCGGCGAGCGCACGAACACAAAACGGGTCTTTTTGCCCCTGTGGGTCCTGCAATGCGAGCTCGGTGGCGACGTACCGTCTCGCCGACACCTTCAAAGATCGCGTCGATAAGAAATATGCGTGCTTCTGGCCGGAATCGATCGCGTGCGACTACGTCAAGACGAAGCGGTGGGGCCGCGACCTGAGCGCGTTGCTCGCCGCGGTCCGACGGCACGAGGCCGCGCGGGCCGTCGAACGTCCGGCGCCAACGGACGTCGTCTGGCATCTCCGGCTCGGCGACACGTCCGGCTGCGAGCGCCCGTTTCATAACCAGGCGTGCGCCAAGAAGGAGAGCCATCAAAAGCAAAAAAAGGTCGACGTCCATTCGCAGTACTTCTTCCAAAAGGACTACTTTAAGGCGGCCCTGTCGCGGCTCTCGAATAAACTTCAACACGTGACCTTCGTGTACTCCACGACCCACGTCAAGTGCCTGACGGCGAAAAGGAACCACAATGATGAGCTTCCGCGGAGCTTCGTCGATCGGAGCCTCGAGTACGTCCGCGACGCGTCCGAGTTCCACCCTGTGTGCAAATCAAATCTTCAACCCGACTTTAATGTGCGCGTATTCGAAAGGTTCGACACAAGCTCTTCGGCTGTGTTTCGAGAACTCGATGAGAGCGATCGATTCGTCCAAAAATCAGCCGAATCGACTTCGATTTGACCGAGCTAGAGAATTTCAAAGTTGGTGGGGACGTCCCAAACCAATGGTTGATTTCCACACAGGTTCCTCCGGAGGCGGAATTATACAGTGAGCGAGCGCCGCGACCACCATCCCGACGACGACCTCGCCTACATGTGCGGCGCGAACGTGCTCGTCCTCGGCGGCGGCGGCTTCACGCATCTGGCGGCCCTGTGCGCGTTACACCGCGACCCGGCCGCCCGCGTCTACGGCTCCGCCTTCGTCCAGAAGGGCTTCCTCGCCGAGGCCGCGCGCGACGCCGGCCGCGCCGAGCGGTCGCTCGAGCGGGGGTCCGGGATCATCGACGTCTTCACCGGCTCGAAGGCGCGGACGAAGACGACCCCGCGAGAAAAAAAAGGCCGCGGCGCGCGGCGGCGGGGCTCCGAGTCGACCGCTTCGCCTTCGGCGGCGCCCGGCGGCTCGAATCGGCGGCGGGGCTCCGAGTCGAGCGCGCCGTTCGTGATCGCCGTCGTCGTCGGCGTCTTCGCCGCGGCCGCGCTCTTCCGGCTCGCGCGCGCCGCGCGCGCGCGCTACCGGCGCTGCCCCCTCGACGAGGCCTGGGCGCCGGACTGGGCCGGCGACGGCGACACCCGGGACGACCTCGAGCTCGTCGACGCGCGGCCGCCGCCGGACGCGGCGCCGCGCTTCACGCGCGAGCGCGAGCTCGTCCACCTCTTCGACGTCGACAGCGTCCGGAGCTCCCGCGGCCGCGCGGGGTCGGACCTCGTCTGAGGTCGCTCATTCCGCGAGACCGGCCGCGCGCGCGTTCGCGGTCGCCCTCGAC